AGAGACGCTCCTCATCTCGCCTTCGCCGTACCTCGCCGGGGACCCTTTGGGGGGGCCATACAGCGGCGTGTCCGCCGTCTGTCTCCGCTTTCTCTGTCTTTAATCTGGGGTGAGCGCTGTCATGGCGCAGCGGCGCCTCAGATGGCTGCCTGGTTTGCGGACGGTGGGTGTAACGGTTAAAAATAAAACTCTCCCTCCGGTTTCAGGTGTACCGACTACATCGTGGCCAGTCTTTAATTCTTCATAATAAAGCTTAAGTGGTACGATTCTGCGAACTTAGCCTCAACCCCCCTGATACATTTGTCTAGGTATATTTGTCCCGATCAGTAACACTGTTTGGCATGTTGAAAACACCGCTTTTTGTTATATTTCAATAACGTTTTACGGAATAAAACGATGAAAGAGCGGAGTAATTAACGACCGGTTGTTACTGTCCTGGACTCATATTTTTGCTTACGTTTAGTCATAAAATTAGGCTTCCTCTAAATGCGGGTATGATGATGTCTGGTACCTTTCGGGAAATAGTATCATGCAACTCTTGTCTTTCGGCGCCCTAAATGATTTGCCCTTCGCCGCACGATGGGTGGAGAACATTGGGGCACGAATGTGTTACAAACAAAAGAATAACAGCCATCATTAATATATCGAAACAAATAGGTGTCATGACAATAAATTTTTATTTGCAGAAATTATATCTGCATACATTAATCTAGCACTTAATTGTGCCGCTGTACAAGTTATTTAACCCGGTGATGTTGCGATGTTATATTTATGGCTTCTGCGGTTATTACAGATGTGCAGTAATTAGCAGCTCTTGCCAGTTATAGTAACGCCACCGATTTTTACCAGATTAACTTGTGGAAATAAGCTTTTTTAGGCGGATGAGTTGGCGGACGGCGCGGGTAAGAATGTGCGCAAATGTATAACTCCGTAATACCACCTTAAATGATCGCCGCACGGCCTATTAGGCAGCAGTTTCTTATCGTTCCGCGGTCCACCTTAAGCGCACGATGTGGGCAACGCAGGCGTACAGCGGGTCTTCCGCCTCATTTCCAGCCGGGCTCGGACCGGATCGGAGCGGCGGCGTCACTTCGGAGACGGCGGGACCTGACCGAACCCGCCCAGCACCATGTCCGAACCCAAGTATCGCGACTGGATTCTGGAGACTATCGACTCCCTCCGCTCCAGAAAAGCCCGACCGGACCTGGAAAGGATATGCCGGATGGTTCGGAGGCGGTACGGGTCGGACCCGGACCGGACCCGTTCGGAACTGGAAAAACTGATCCAGGAGCAGACGGTGCTGAAAGTTAGCTACAAGGGCTCGATCTCGTACCGGAACGCTGCCAAGGTGCACAGAAAAAGCCGAAAGAAACCAGAAGCGCTCGGGGAGCGGAGCAAGCATGCCGGCGGCACGCACGGTCCGACGGGCGCCGAGGAGACCGGCTGCCCCACCGAACCCCCCGAGCCGAAGCGTTGCTGTGACCTCCAGCCCAACATCCTGGCCATCCCCGGCCAGAAGGACGGGACGCCAGCGGTGCCGGCTAGCGGAAACGGCTGCCTAGGCTGCGGCGCAGCGGTTTGCAGGAGTCAGGCTCGCTGCGCTGCCGGTGCACCGCGAGACAAGAAGACAGCGCCGGCGGGGGGCAGCGCCACCGCGGCCGCCCGGGACAGATGCACCGGCAGTAGCAATGGAAGTGACGCCCCCGGCAAGATCAGGGCAAGCCGCGGCGTGGAAGGGGGCTCGTCCGGCCAGGGGGGCAGTGCCGACAAGGAAAGAAGAACTTGCACGCTGACAAACAGCAGCCACCTTCTGAGGCGCAAAAAGCAGGCATCACTGAAGCCCAAGCTGCGTGTCGGGAGGAGAGCTACGCCGGATGCCGGCAGCCCCGACCTGGGCGACCGCCTAGTGGCGTCCGTCCGGTCCCTGGCTGAGAAGAACCGGGGTGCAGTCGCCCGGGGTCACCCGCCGCTGGGCTTGAAGGAGATCCTGGGCTTCCTGGGTTCACAGGAGCGCCTGTCGCAGGAGAAGCTGACCCGCAGCAAAGTCAGAGCGGTGCTGGAGAGGGAGGTGGCGAAGGGTCGCCTGCGCAGGACCCGCTTCGGGAACATCACGCTGCCGATGCGCGGCGTGGGGGCGAAGCCGAAGCCCCCCGCCCGGCTGCTGAAGAGCGCGCTACAGGAGCGGCACACGCAGGCGGCCCAAAAGGTGACTTCGCGTCGGCAGTGTGTCCTGCGCCCCGCACGAACACTCCTCTCCCCCTCCTTTGGCGGCGCGGTCGCGCTATATAGGGCTTTGCCCGCCTCTTCGGTTTCGTAATTAGATGCTGTAGAAATGGACATGCAGAACGCAGGGATGTGGGGAGCCGTGCGCTGCCCCCCCGGTCACATGCACAGACTGCGCGGGCCAGGCTGCCCGTTAACGTGTGCACCGTTACTCCCGGTCCGGTGAAAGTTACGCGATCACGGACTCCCCGTGATTCTGCCGCGGACGCGTTTGGAGGAGGGACTGTCGGACCTCAGGAAAGATCGAGAGCGGTGGCGGAAACGGCAAACCCGACTCTGGCTTTGTCTAATCCGCTTAGATCCTCGGTGTTTAACACCCCTCGTGCTGCGCATCCAGTGGCGCGTCTGACTGCGCCCCGGCGCTTTGCTTTCGGTGTATCTCTCTGGCGGAACCGTCATCTTCATGTTTTATTGGCACATAGTAGACAAACCGTGCAAAAAAACAGGGCAAAAATTCGAAATTCTGGAATGGCTTACTTGATGAATATAAGATTAATTGATGAAAACTATTTTGAAGCAGCATAATATCTAAAATAATTCACATTTTAAGTTAAGTCAGTGCAATGTTCTGGTGCAGAGAAGGGGATGCCTTTTAGCATATGCCTGTCAGTTCTTCAGCATTTTCACATCTTTCTCCTGCTGTGCCTTGAGGTGGCGCTGAAGGAGGAGGAGCCCATGGAGCTGAACAGCAGTCAGGAGAAAGAGGAGGAGGAGGAGCACCGTGAGGAGGCCCAGGTGGGAGGTGACGGTGGCCCTCTGTCACCAGCTGAAGGGGATGGGGGGGCAGCTGTGGGCCCGGCTCTCGGGCCGCCTCAGCCGCCGCACCCCGACGCCACGGCCCACCCCCCAGGGCCCTGCCCAGACACTGCCCCTGTGCAGGTAGAGAGGCCGCCGTCCCTGTGCTCCACACCCCCCCCCAGCTGCACAGCCTCGAAGCAGGAGGAGTACGGCCTGGAAATCTGCCCCAGTGACCTCTGCCCTGGAGAGGAAGCATGCACAGAACCCCCAGCTGACACAGGTACGGGGTGTGTGCCTGTGCCTGTGCCTGTGTCTGTGCCTGTGTCTGTGCCTGTGTCTGTGTGTGAGCCTGTGTCTGTGCCTGTGTCTGTGCCTGTGTCTGTGCCTGTGTCTGTGCCTGTGTCTGTGTGTGAGCAGGGTCTTCAGGTGGCATAGGCCAGGTGAGATTCAGGTGAGCCCTCCCATAGCAACAGAAAACAAATTTTGTCAATTCATTGATTTTAAAAATTAAAAACATTTCAGCAGCACGGGGTACCTGGCTGCTGACCAGCTAGCTTGCATCTGTTTCGCAAGAAAAGTACCGAAATAAAACTAGTGTAAATAACTGTTATGAATTAGGTGACCAGTGGTCATTGTTGACACAGCACACGGTGCACCTCAGTAGTGCCTTGCTGGTCGGGGATTTGAACCTGCAGTCTTTCAATCACAAGTGCGCTTCCTTAACCATTAAACCACCATTGCCCACATGGAATGCTACCAGAGGTATTTCTTTTCTTACTCGCTCTTTTGCACCCTCCAATCAAATGGCGCCCTAGGCGATCGCCTACATCACCTATAGGGCAGGCTGACCCTGGGTGTATGAGAGAGAGAGTGAGTCTGCACAGTGAAGCTGTGAGATGTCACGGCACAGGCTCGTGTTGTATGTGTGCCACATGGTGGCGCTGTGCTGTGTGTGTGTGTGTCCGTTTGTCCTGTGGGGCTTTGTCACATGGAGAGGAGCAACAACATTAACATCATTATCGACTTTGAAA